CTCAGTGGGCTCTGCAGCACGTCCATCCCCACGTTGTACTGCCCCCGAATCGTCCTGGAAGTGCTTTCTGTGCTCCGGAAAGTCAGCGCCCAGTGCCACCAGGTGTCTGAGCAGGTTATCGCCTCCGCGGAGATGCGGCACCAGCAGTGGCTGAAGAGGACCCTGCGGTCTAGGCAGAGGCAGAACCACCTGCTCATGTTACGGAGGTGTGGGGTCCACACTTGTTGGGGAAGCCCTGTGGGACAGCAGGACCTAGGGATGGAGGGTTTTGAATCCTTATTTTGAGAAATACTTCTTTTCAGAGAAAGGTACAGTACATTTTACGGTAAAACTTGCCAAAGCCAGAACATGTGTAAGGCAGAAACCTGCCAGAGAAGGAAAACTAAAATATTTTCCCCTGATAGAGAGCGATAGAAAAGTGTCAAAGGTGGAGAGCTGGAAGAGCAGGGCCCGCTGAGTTCCGACTGTCTCGGGCTTCACGGAACAGGTGGAGCCTGGCTTGACATGTCCGAGTTAGCATAAAATGCACTTAGGACCTAGTAGGTACTACAGACACATCGTAGCGTGTCTGGCTGATGCTGTCATGCTCAGATAATCACTGTCGATGTTCCAAGATCGATTTATAAGGGCACTGCTAATAAAAGGCAGTAGTAATGGGAACCTAAAAATAGAGGCATCTGACCACGTCAGGACCGACTTGTAATGGCATTGTTGGAAGGGATCCCCATGGTGAGTTGGAGACTACCTGCATTTTAAAATCTTGCTCACAGCTCTGGCCTATGGGAACAGCATACGGGCGTCCCTCGCTCCATTAGCTCCATTAACTTCGCACACGCTGTGTATTTTACAAACTGAAGGCTTGTGGCAACCTTGTGTTGGGCAAGTTTCTTGGTGCCAATTTCCCAGAAGTGCATGCTCACTTTGTGTCTCTGGGTCACATCTTGATACACCAGGATATTTCAGAGGTTTTCACGGTGCCATCACAGACTTTAACTAGCCCACAGTATGGTATAAACAAACTCTTACATGGAGTGGGAAACCAGAGTACTCACGTGACTCACTCTTGTCACTGTGGTGGTCTGGGACCAAACCCGAAGTATCTGCCAGGTCCACATGGGCAGTTCTAGCTACCAAATGAATATTGACTTTAAACCATTGTTGTTGTTGTTGTCATGTGCCGTCGAGTCAAACCCGACTCATAGCGACCCCTCCTTGGGTTT